AGAACAAAAAATGCACCCTCTGATTACACAGTTTGTTTAAATTGAACCCTCATAAATTTTGTAGAAAAAAATTATTACCAGTTACCAAGTTGTCTTGTTTTAAACCTCCGATNATACCAACGCACGCTCGGTCAATCGCGTGCTCACCAGCCATTCCTGACCCCTAACCCCACCCCCGCCAAATTCAACAGCTGGCTTACGCCTGCAGCTGTACCTTTTTTCCAAGAATATGTTGATCAAATTTACCTCCACTCCTTGACTTACCAGCGGTCCTACCCCCGATTATCAATCCGATTAAGGATTTAAATAGAACTACGCCCTGCGAGCTCGTCCTCTTTCCTGGAGAATCCGTCAACCAACTAACAAGTAGCTGGCTTTAACTACAGCGAGTTATATATTATTAAACTTCCGATTGTCTAAATTATCCTTATAATATTTGTGATTCAATCAAACAAGTTTTGCTAATAATTCGATTGAGCTTTTCCTTTCTTTTAATATTACCGTCTTAACAAGCAATTTACTTCACTGGCCTACCCAGAAGAGCTGTCAGCTGCTAATCATCCATTACTCGTAAAGGTACTGGTAAATTACTTTTAATACTTTTATTTCATTACAAACACTGCCAAAACGCAAACGCATTTGCTATCCGCGCGCTGCACGTTGCATTCAAATTCTCGTGCGCTAAAGTTACGTCAAAGAGCTACGACTTAACAATATATAGTATGTATAGGTATACTTTCTCAAAGAATTGGACCGACTTACTGATAACTACAAAAAAAATGTACCCATAATATTCACAAAAATCTACTGTAGGTAATGTGGACAATGAAACTATATGTGTAGTATACACCGTGGTCATGAAGCACTATTTTTTATTTCGCTTTGAAAGCACAATACACGCTTTCTACAATGAAAACGAAGCGGAATTACAAATAAAACTGGTAATGGGAAAACTTTTGTCTCTGACCACGGTGTAAAATATCCAGGTGGTCCAATGTCCCATTGCTTATATTGCCTACAGTAAATTTTTCAACATTTTGTGACATTCCACTTTCTCGCACTAGATTACTAGGTGTCACATAGCAAATAAACACTAAACAGACGTAGTGGTATAACTATATAAGTAGGTGTTTGCCAATACTAGTATAACTATAGATACTAGTGTTTGCTAACACTAATGGTATAATTATATATGGGATTTAACTTTTACTCTCCATCTGCCGGAACTTAAATGAAACAGCACAAATATTACACAAAAATTATGCCTACATCCCTGCATGTGCAGGGGATGTCCCATAGACATAGACACGTAAGAAATATAGTCTGCTCGATTTATGTATGGTGCCGAAGCACAAGTAGAAAGAGACGTAATATCGAAGGTGAATATTTGTTTCTCCCGCACGATGCCAACGGCGGGGGAGGCAGTAAACTAAGTCCTGCTAAATTGCTAATGCGATCTCTCTACCGTTGGTGATATGCAAGTGAGACAGGCACCCACGCTCAATGCTGTATCCTTTCTACTCTGGCTTCCACGTTGTAGACAGGAACAAGCAGTCTATGTTTCTTCTATGTCTATGGGATCTCCTGTAAACTAGACAGCCAGCTCTTGACACAGCATCGATCGTGGGTATATGTCTCTCTCGCACATCACCAAAGGTGGGGGTCAGTAAAATAAGGCCAGCTGATGCAACCTTTCCACCGTTGGCAACGTGAGAGAGAGACAGATATACATGTCGATATTGTGTCTCTTTCTACTTGTGTTTCATTTCAGTGCCGTACAAAGAACGAGCAGTCTATTATTTAAATGTCTTTGGTACTTATATATACTTATATTGGTACTTATATCTTAATATACAGGTGATTCCATTGCCTATGTTTCCTACAGTAAATTTTTGTAAAAATTTTGCGTCACTTCCGCTTATACCAGGTGTCTAATAGGAACAGAACGACGAGCAGACTCAGTAATGTAACTATATATGGTGATGTCCACCAACACTAGTAATATAACTGTACAATAGCGTTATAACCAACACCTGTAGTACAACAATACATGGTGGTGTTCGCTAACACTAGTAGTATAACTATAGCATAGCTATATATAGTATTCAGTTCTCGTTCGCCATCTGCTAGAACTTAAGCATAAATATTACGGAATTTAGAAATTTTACAAAAAATTCGAAATATATTAAAGTTCAGTATGATTATTTTCATGAAAGTTACTTAAAAGGAATTGTTTAATAAAAGTAGAATCAGACCCTAACTGGAGCAAAGAGATGCATTTTTTTACTTCTTATATTAGCTTTTCTAACAGCTTTTAAGCAGAAAAAGTTTAAAATTACATGGGTTACAATTCATACTTTTTTATTTTTTAGTTGCCGAAAATCTTGCTTAATATCGTGTAGGATATCATGTAGACTATCGTGCAAGAAGTCTTACACGATATCTTATAAGATTTGTGTAGGATATCTTGTAAAATATTGTGCAAGATATCGCGCAGAAATTTTGTTATAGGTGTGTTACTCCTACGTAATACTAACTGTGATTGGTTTAAAAACATTTACTCAAGTATTTTTTACTTTCATGTGCATGATGACGAATTATTTTGCGTAAAACGTACCTTACTTTACTTTCCCTGATCTTATGATTTTACGCGATACGCGATACTATTTACGCTTTACGCGGTTCCATGTGCCCGCACCCTAAGAGTGGCTGGCTCGACACCTATCAAAGAGATATAAAGAGAGCATTCCAAATGACGCGACAGTGTCACGCAGTCCTACTCAAAACCAATACTAAGGTGTCGTGTCATTTGGACTGCGTCAAAAAATAGAGAGCGCCAAACCTACATAACCTACAGAGGTTCAAGTGCGTGATAGATGAGCTGCCATGTTCAGGACTTTCTTTATAAACTGTATATCTATGTTTATTACCCACACTTCTTAAATCATATCGATGTATGTCACTTAAACATAAGAACACTGCACACTTGACCCCTTGTAACATAACCCTGTCTGGTGATATTTTCATTGGTGCGAGAGAGAACGCTGCATAGTTACCACAGGGTCTATGTGGTAATTATGCAGTGTACCTTCTCGCACCGTGGGACACAGCTTATTACAGGGTCATGTGGACTTGGCGCACTCTATTCTTATATCTCTATGGGCACTACTCTTCGTATATGAGTTACTTCTCTTATTAAGTACTTGTGTATTTTCTATTAATCAGATCAGATCTCACTCGAGTGAGCTCATTTCTCGATTCACAGAATAAGTTCCTCATTACATTGTCACGTCTAATGACGTCTACCCACAGTCGGTAACGAATACCATATGGTGTTTCTCACTTAGCGGCCACACCCACGGATCCATAGTTGGAGTTGGCAGACTGGGCAACCCAGGGCCAGGGAGTCCAGCTTAAGCGCATGGTCCAAATCAAGCACCCAAGCCTAGCCGCAGCCGCTGCAGGTGGGTTTGTAATACGGCACTACGGCAGTGTTGCATTCAAACATTGAGTATCGAATTTTTACGATCTGAAACATTTCAGACGTTTTGGATATCAGATTCCGTTCTGTTCTTTATAATGACCATCAATCCAACAACTCAAAATGCTTACTGTCCACTCTGTTAAATTATAAAATGCTAATTAATAACACAAGCACCTACCACCCGACGACCCAGGGTGCTGACTGACCTTTCTATTCAACAATTCAATGTTAATTAATAGCACAATAAGTGCTTATCGCCCGAAAACCTGGGTTACGTACTGGCCATTCTATTAAGTAATAAATTGTTAGTTAATAATACAAGCGCCTATTACCCAATGACCCAGCTGGGGCGCTTACTAACTGCTTCATTAATTAATAAAACATTAGTTTCTCACTCCAGCGCCTTTCACTTAATAACTTGAATTGCTTACTAGCTACTTTACTAACTATTAAAAAAATTAACTGATTTTAGAAAAGTTATTTAATTAAAATAAATAAAAAACATGAATTAAACACAAAAGTTCTTATTGTATTATTAAATAGAGTTGTATGAGTAACTTGTATTATACGTTGTATTCCTTATATATATTGTAACGTGGTAGCTGAAGCTATCACGTCACTATATACCTATATTTTGGGCGAGTCATTGGCGGCTACCGAGTCCTATGATACTGTATATATTTTATATATATATCGTTTTACAACACATTCTTAATGTGTGTTCTCGGTGCCACGGACTACGAGCCAAGAGGAGAAAGGAGGACGAGAGGCAACTAGAGAAGTTGACGGTGTGTGAGGTATGGTTGAGAGAGTGTATGTGTAAGGAAGAGAGGGGAGATGGAGGAGTTCGCGACGCGTCAGAAGAAAACCGAGGGCCAGGTTGTCGGATCAGGAGTTTTAGTTTTTGGAAACCTCCAACGATTTACCGGATTTTAACAACGTTGGAGGTTCCGAGATGCAACGGGAGGGGTGCGCTCGTCTACGCAGACTTACTGCATAGTATAGCAGAATTAGTACCACGAGAGGCATCAGAGAGAGTAGAGTCAAGGAGGATTGCAGGAATCACGAGAGAGAGAAGACCAGAATAGTGACGAGCATCCGCGAGACGAGAACGGGAGATATTTTAGAGCAGAGTAGGCTGGATAAAAGAATTGGTGAGAGATAGGGAAGTGATAGGGCAGAGAAAGGGATTGAGGATAGTTGGGTCAAGGTCGAGCGTAACGATAGAGCAGCTGATAACTAAGCACTTTGCCAGATTTTATAATAACAAATAGTAACGAATAATTATCATTTTATTTTTCAATTTCTTATACCATGCCATCGGCCTCGGCTAATAATTTCCTGTACAAAGAACTTTTAAATTCAGTTGATGTTTCGGATAAACGGATACGCGCCGGTATAAGATCCCAAAACCGCATAGCCATCTGTGAAAACGACTGCTTATAGGTGGCGAGCGTTGCACGACGTCTCTCAAACAACGAAGGCACGCGCCTCTCGGAACGTCTCAGCCCCTCACGTGCCACAGGGAATAGGTCAAACAAGTAACTCGGCTTCGCAGTGGTAAGGATCCTATAAGTGCTAACACCAAGAAAGTAGTTTCGTCGAGCGCCAGAGCGCAACCACTCAAGTCTGGCATAGAACGGCCCCAGGGCGGCGTCACGTCTAAGATTGAAAATAAAACGGACAACAGTATTACACAAGCAGTTGAGTTTTGTGGCCAAGTAACCAGAAGGACCTGCGAAAACAAAGCAAGCATAATAAAAATGCGGCCATATGAGTGCCGTAGCCAACTTTTCTTTAAATTTACTGGACAGCGATCCGCCCTTGTATCGCAAACGATAGAGAAGACCGTGCACCCGTGAGCAGATAGCAGCCACATGCCTATTCCAAGTGAGATCGTCGGTGAGATAAGCACCTAAGTCCTTTACACAGTCACTTAAAGGAATGACATGCGTGCCAGCCAGGATAGGTGGTAAAACCGCCTTGTCAACACGCAACAATTGCTGACGGGTACCCATCATTATTGAGTTGAGCTTATTCCAGCTGAAATCTAACCCATGCTCGTCCAACCATGCCACTACACCGTTAATGTCCTGGTTCAACAAATGAATCGTGCGACGTGCATCGGATGGTGCTCATTGGATATAGCACTGCAGGTCGTCGGCGAAAAGCTCACCCACGCTATTGCGCAGCACCGACAGTACCGAATTTATAAAGATGAGAAAAATAATAGGTCCCGTGGAAGAGCCCTGTGGTATTCCCGAAGTACTGGGCAAGAAAGCCGTACAATCACCGCTTAAATCCAATACCGCTTGAGA